GTCCTGAAAAAATTTGAATTGGCAGAAAGTTCCGCAGTCCAGCGACAAACTTGAACATTCGAATCCAGGCAAAATTAACGAAGCGTGTGTACCGACATTAACGAAATCCGTTGATCCCCTCCAACCCCCTCATAAGCATCGCAGAGCGCCAGCCAGCGGTCCATCGGAGCGCGACTGACGATGTGCGTTGGATAGTCGAAAATCGTACTTGAATCGCGTCTCTTTTTCACGAATTTATTGGAAACGCCGTATGTTTTATTCAGGTCGCCCCTCGCCCCACGCCCTCGGCCCCGACCGCCTCTCTTTCTATCCGGCAACGACCGTGAATAGAGAACAAGCTCCTGCGTCACGTGTCGTGGCACAATAATCGAGCGCTTTCGGGGATGATTAAATTTTCAACAGCTCGACTGACAGAATTCCCTTTCTCGGAAGGGAAAGAGATGTTCGGGGGTTGGTTGGAGGGGGGACGTGGAACGCGGGACATGGTCTGGGGGACACGGCGCATTCATTATCACGGTTCCCACTGATTTTTCGCCGTGGCCGTTTTAAACGGAATTCGCGTTCAACGGTGCCGAAGGACGCATTGATCCCACTTTAACAGAGATTTCGGACAGGCCATTGTTCCATGGTACAAGACTGGCCGTGAAACAGATCCACTGTGTTTGGCCTTACATGCGCTGTTCGTGGCGATAGTACACGGATCGATCGGACCAGTCGTTTCACGGCCGATATGCGATTTTATTCTTCGCCACGAAAATGAATGGGAAACGCGAAATGAAGTTTCATCGCGCGGAGTTTCAGAGGAAATCGAATCTATTGCTCAATACGTAGGATCGTCGATCGCTGTGTTTATTTATTGTTGGCTTTTCAGCCATTCGATCGGATAGAATAGAATTAAAAGGCGTGATTTGCTTTTGAGTATCGGTTCGCTGATAAGAATGTGTAGTCTGATTGAGAATGATCGTCGGTGATTGAGCAGACTGTTTGCTTGATAGTTTGAGGACGTGTATATGAGTTTGATGGGAAGTTTGAGAAATTCGGAGAGAAGAAAATCTAGTTTAGTTGTAAGGTATAAGGTATACTACTTGTTCAGAAAGATTCTTTATTACATTATTTAACTAAGTGAAGAGTGTGATATATATTTAGAAGTGTATTATCTTAGGAACAATCTTTAGTAAATATTTATAATTCGTAGTTGGTTCTATGCACCAGCGTATATTGGATTGTAAAAAAAGATCTCCTTTGTGAGAAAAGGAAAAGAAAGTAATAATTGAAACTTGAAAATAATGTTTGAACTAGTTAATTAACACGCTCACAAAAAATACCTTTGGATTATGCTTATAAAACGAACTGAATTAATGGAAATACTTTTGTGCTTACATTCGCAAAGAACATCCTTTGCCACGATTAAAATTTTAGCGAATTTTCCTTTTGAAGTGGTTAATTAAATTAAATTTTCAAAAATAAAATTAAAAATTCGTACTTTTTGTGCGTATTGTAAGGGCAGCGATTGAAGTTAGGAATAAAGATTTCATAACAGAGAATCATTTGAGTGACAGTCACAAATTGCTGTTGTAACGAATCTACCTTTTAGTTGTCTTTTATTTCACGATTTCCCAGTTGGGAAACATGCATTCCCTATGTCAATCCCCGAACATAGTACTAGTGAAAACCATTTTACCAATCCTTTGACCGGACTATGTACAAATATTGAGTCTCTAAACAAAATTCAGATATTCCTAGAACTGTCAGCCATGCAAATCCTTGTTTGCATGGAACAAAAATGTTGGACTTTCTGTTCGTTTACCTCAAAAGATGAAATAAATCCTTAATCCTGTTTTACATTGAAACTTGTAGACTAACTTCATGCTTGCAATTAATGTGCGCTGGTGTTCGTTGAAACACAATATTGGGTAGCGATAGAACCAAGATGAGATTATTCGTTATTGGTTTCGGTTAATTAAAAGGTAAAAAGTTCATTAAATAGTGAGGTTCACGCATTTATACAGCAATATAACGTACTTACATTGTTGCCTCATTCTAATTTTATAATATATGTAGATTGGCGATGTTTCTTGATTTGAAAGCTAAATAATTCGAATTACAAACTTTGAAATTATAAAATTATGAACTTTATATTACTTAAGTCTTTGCACACACATATGCTATCGAAATGAATAAATTAATTGTCATGCCACTAAAAGCATGAAAAATATCTTAAAACGAATATCTCTAATATCCTGTGACAATTTTTGTGAATCAGAGGGGACGCACCAGTCGAAAATAATGACACGACGACACGAATAATTGCCAGGACAATTAAAATACGAGTGATCAAATGAAGCAGGCAAATTAATTCGTCGAGTGTGTAACGACGTTATTCAGTGATCACTTATTTTAAAATACGGCGCGATATGATAAAAAAGAACGCCAAAGGGAAATTAAATTAATTAAAATCCCCATCGATGCGTATTATTTGCGATTATTTGCGCCGAGAGGCCTGGCGATCAAAGAAATTAAAAAATTGACGAACTCTCGCTGCGCCATTGATTCGTGCGTCGTTAATTAAAGCACTATAAAATTTTTATATAAATTTACCTTATCGTTCGTCAATGTGTAAAACTCTGCTAATAACGTACGAAACGAATAAACGGACCAAGTAAACATGTTTGCAAATAGATTGGAAAACTTTGCCTTAAATTCCACGATTTCAAATATAATTTTAAAAACGAAATGAACATGAAAGTTCCGATTGTTTGATTGCTAGAAATGATTACTCCTACAAATTTCGAAAACTATAATATAAAAATATAAATAAAATTAAAGCAACAAAATTTTTTCTACCATAGTATTTATTATAAACTACAGTAATAGCAACAAGAAAAACAACAAAACCACCAGCACCAACAAGAAAAATAATTTCACAAAAAATTATTCTCTCAACAAATTCCGGATGATATCCGTGTTTACGGGACACGGCCGTCGTGGTTTCATAACGATCTCCCAGCCCACCGTTGCGTTGCAATACCGAAAGCGGCGAAGAAGAAAACTGCGCCGGAATGACAGTGAACGCGTTAACGAACGTCGGCCGCAAAATCGTTTTATCGATGAATCTCCGTTGATCGAAAGGCGGCCAAAGCTGAGCCGCGGGGTGCCGGCCGAACGAAAGCTATTTAAAATTCATGAATTCTGTCATATCTACAACCAATTAGGTCACACACGCCGACGACCGGTGCCAGTTCAGAGAACTTTAATGAAAGCCTTTCAAAATTCAACGAACGTTCCATTCTTTATCGGAGCAATTAGAATGCCCGTGCAGTCTGCATAAACTATCGACCGCCGACCAACGAAATTACTCGAGTGGCCGCAAACCATTCTCGAGCCGTGGTCATGTAGTCAAATGTTGCAAGGTGTCCTCTTCTCTCCTTTAAAAATGAAAACGAAGACGCGGGAGGAAGTGAAAATAATCGATATCTCGGGGAAAAGTAAAAAGCCGCTGTTCGTTTCGAAACATCCATTGACCAATATGAATTTGTCTTTTTAACACGTTAAATGCCGTGTCGGTCACCGATGGCCGACGCTTCTGAGTTGCTTGAAGAAAATTACAATATGCAAGATAACTATTGTTGACTAAAAATATTTAATAACATAAATAAGTTAACAACTGTGTGATGTAAAACTTTTGATGCCAAATAATTAATAATTGTTCCTATTTACCGTTGCTACGAAGGGACACATCATGTATAAAACGTTCAAGATTATCGTGGCGCTTAACGTGTTAATGGAGATTATCATGCTTGAAGGAAGAACACTGCGTCCGCACGTGTGACAGAAATATTGATACATTAATATATATTGTTAATATGAATTAATTCATTAATGAGCATACTTCGTATTAATTATTCATTAATAGGTTTGTTACCAGCGTCACAAACTGACGATCAAAATCCTATACATAACACTGTATGTAGTATTATATGTAGTATTATAGATACTATTACTTTAAGTTACAAGATAAGACATTATCAAACATTTTTAGTTTCATTCTTTCATTTTTTCAATATTTTTTCAATACAATTTATTCTGAGATGAATTTTATGATGTAATAAAATATGAGAATTGATGTAGAAATAAATAAAGATGTTACTGGAAGATGGAGTGGCACAAGAAAGTTGAAGTAGCTCATCTTGCTTATGGAATACTCACGGAAGATTATTTTTTAATAAAATATTCAAAAATACGTTTGTAGGTTATGTATGAAAACAAAATTCTCTTATAGTATTAGATTTTCAGTCAGATAATCCCATGACAGAATGTACTTATTAATCTTCGCGCGAGGAATAGTTATTTTGATTAATAACAAAATTTTCATTCTACACAGGTGTCAAGGAAAAATTATACGTTAAATTATATGCATATTGTAAACTGTCTGTATGACAGTTACAAGTGTATATAATCGCATAATTAAATAAATAAAGTAGTAACGAATATATAAATGCGGCATCAATGACAGTTAACTCAAATTTTCCCTGTACTAGTTACACAAGTATCCACAACAATATAATCAATTATTTTTTATAATTGCCATATAATTATTCCCAAATCGCGCAACGGAAAAATAATTAAACACAATTTTTCACCGAATACGTACGATGAGTATACGCAATCCATACCGGAAAGTGTATTACGTATTTATTTTTAATCAGCCACCAGATCACGCGAGTTTACTTTCAATGAAGTAACAATTAAAAGATATACATGGCTATTAAGAATTGCAATCGTTGCAAAGGTGCGATGATTTTTCTATTGATTTAACAACTCACCAAATGAAATAGCAATCCTTATAGATTGCCCGAGGATCAAATGAAACCCGGTCCCGCTGTTACCGTAACTTCAATCCCGTTCCGCGATAATAATACCAATTCCCAAGAAATTATATCTGTGCCGGGTGCACAGTGGAATCAATTTCTGTGCCATTAAATCCTATGTTCGGGGCTCACCTGATTCCTCCGCGAGTAGTGTCGTAATTCAGCGTTCGAGATCCATGCCGCCACGTAACGTATCCGGTGGGCTGCGGTATATTGCTGACCACACACTTCAACTCTATCGTGCTGCCCGCTTTGTAAAATTTGTCACCGGCCGTGGCACCGTGCTCGTCCACGATTTCCACCTTCGGAACTGAAACAGACACCGGTGTCGTTCCGTTAGATCGCACCTGTAGTTGCAGATTCGGAAAAGATAATTTTCAATTTGGACGCGTTACATTTGATTCGATACATTCGCGTTGTTCAGTGAGTTTCGTCATCTTGTTTATAATTGAGACGGGACTGCGATTAAACTACGAAGGAAGAAGGAAATAGGCAGGATAAGGGGTAAAGGAAATAAACACTAGAGAAAGATAAAAGTAGAGAAAGAAGAAAGTTAAAGGAAAAGTAAAAATAGAGATAGAAAGATAGAAACGAAGGTAGAAAAGAGTAAAGAGAAAGATGAAAATAAAAATAGAAGAAAGTAAAGAGAAAGGTAAATATAGAGAAACAAAAGAGTAGATTGAAAGAGAAATGAAGGGAGAAGAAAGTCGAGAGAAAAAGAAAAATGGAGAAAGAAGACTATGGAAAATAAGGAATAGGGGAAGAAGGAAGTAGCAGAAAAAATGTAACATTAGTAAAACGGTGAGATGCATCTTCATACGCAAAGAGCAAATAGAGACCCCAAGGTGTCTCGAGTTACTGTTATAAAACCTTTGAAAACTCACGCTTAACTAAATATCATATATCAGTTTACCTTTACCTTTCAATTACTTCTTTTCATGATTTTTGCACGTTTAAAAATAGAAAAATGAATCGATCGCACCATTCAGAATCTTTTTCCATGAACATAGAAAAGCCTAATTCAGTTTCCGAGCTGAAACGAAAGAAACAATCGCGCCGGTTAGCAATATTCGAGCGCATTTTTGTGAAGACCCGTGACACTCGGTTAAGTGTGCACCGTTGGAAGTAACGGACGAAGCTCGCGCAGCAAACAAAAGCTTTCGCGTTGCCGTCTTCCCAGTGAAATAAGTTGTTTTTCTGGTTATCGGTTCGCTTCGGCTGTCTGCATAAGAAACCCAGTTTTGAAAACTGCTAACTGCGAGAGAAACGGTTGAAATTTCTCAGCGTCGATGCGTCTTCTCAAAATGAACCATGAAAAAATCCCGCCATCGTCGCCGTGTAGTAACTGCTGCCGCGGAACAATGAGTTTTCGTGCTCGCCTGCGAAGATGGATGCAAATGACGGGTAGAGGTATTTCGTGCTAGTAAAACGTACGGAGCAGCCGGTTGCAGTGTGCAACTCGCCGTGCCGTGTTGCAGGCCGCTGCATCGCTAAACAAGACCACCAAATCGAAGGTGTTCCGGCATCTGTTGCGGTTCCCTGGACCAGGCGTCTTGCTTAATTACCCCTCGTACAGCGAAAGTATTGCCCCTCGTTTGGGCGTTGGCCGCCATCAGTTTTAAACTTCGTCGATTAAACGACACTTTGCCTAGGAGCTTTACCAGCCGTTAGGTCTTTCCTTTTTCCGTGGAAGTTACATCAAACCGTGTCTCGAATATGCATGAAGGACTTATGTGTCCACGTGTTGGGGTTAAATGTTTTAGTTGCTCGAGTATAATTTGGTAAAGTGAGAATTTATTGGCAAAATTGTTATTGGATTTTGGATATTTAGAAACTTCTCATTTTCGAGAATGATTTTGGGGATTGGTGTAAAGGGAAAGTATTGTTTGTCAACTGGCACACTATTGGCGACTGATGAAGCAAAAATGTCTTTAAAATTGTATATTTGATTCCTTAGATTTTAGGGTTGAAAATTTATTAGGGTAAATTTCAGTAAACGGTTTTCTGTGTTTTATGTTTACACAATTGTTTTGTACATAAATTCGGAGTCTGGGCATCGCGTATGTGTTATTATTAGGCAAAAACTTAGATATTCTTTAATAATTCTAGTCGTGTGAAATAAAATGTTATCTTGTTCTAAGTATATGAGAACGAAAAGAATACTACAAACTAGTATTTCGCAGACGTTACAGAGCAAGCCGTATATACAAGTTCACAGAATCAACGAAGTTATAAAATTTCCTATGAAACGATCCAATTAACTCGTCGGCGCAGTTAAAAACTTCTAGAACGCTGTTCTCACTACTGTGTGCGTAAAAACTTGGCGCACATTGGGCTAATTAATTTCAATTGTTAACAAAGCCTTCTTTTCATTCGAACCTCCATTTATTAGTTATAACGAAAGAAAACAGATTTTCTCTGAAAAAAATCTTAAGAAAATCATGAATTTCATACAACTACACCTATTATAATTCCCTAAGTTTATACCATACATGATAAGTATTAGCACGTGAATATCGTACGATTTCAAGGAACAAAATACACGAAATAGAAAAAATCAAATATTGAATCATTTAATTGAATTGCATTATCGTCATTGCACGTTCGTCTAGCTGAATGTCACCGCGTTAGGTAGAATTATTTAGAATATAGAAATGTTTTCAAAGGATCGTCGTTTAATTGAGTGAACTATAATAATTCGCTTTGGTTGGAAAAAGATACACTAAACTAATTGAGAACACTAAACATATCCAAATATCACAAGCGTTAGAAAATAACCAGCCGTGAGTTATAAATTTAGTGAACGACGACTTCATTAAGCATAATGCCGAATTCAATTATCATCTGCGTAGCAGTACGAGTAATTGCATAGCTTCGAGTGCCGACAGTATAGAAAGTTAGTTCACCGAATATTCCATTAAACAGTCAACAATATCTGCCGTCCCTAATATCATAGGTGCAGTTCTCCGGGCAGTTCCAAACAAACGGAACGACAATCGAGACAAGTTCCATCGTCGGCAGCGAGACCATTAGAATCGCGGAGTCAAAGAGAAAGATAACCCGTTTCTCAGATTTGAAGTACACAAAGTGACCCGATCTGGAGCAAACTGCTTCTGGAAGTTCATGAGGAAATCGGCTTAGAACTGCCGGCAGAATTTCAACCCACTCAGCCCCGGCGAATTTCGTTCCTGTTATTCTTGAACGCGAATACAGTCAGGGATAGAAAGATAAGACGCTCCGTTATCAGGTTGATCAAAGTGCGTTCTCCCTTTGTCTAGAATCTGGCGTTAACACGACTACCACCATTACGAAAATATTAATCCTGGAGGCTTTATTTGCGTAATTTGATTACAGGAATACATTTTTTAATATATTTGGAACAAATTCTATGTGTTGAGTACTTTTTCGTAGATCTTTATCGTCATTCAAATTTGAACGACGAAGTCTCTGATGAAACTATTTAAGCAGTTTTATATGTAGAATTACAGTTTCTCGCGATCTATAGTTCAATGAACTGTAATTTTATGAAATGAAATGAATCCACAAATTTTCTTAAAAAGAACCAGATTTTTCGGTACTCGGTACGTAATATAAATATTGTGCATTCATTATTTCACGTTATTTTCATTCGAATGGTCCAATTACATGTAATTAAACTGAAATACTAGTTTACAATATAAATTTACTCGAGGAAAATATAAATATTCTAAAAGGTTGATGGAAATGTGAGAAAAGATTTCAGAAAATCGTACGCGTAAAAAGAATTTACGTTTTGTTTAAAATTATTTTTCATAACATTTGGTACTTCTAAAAGTTGCCTTTATCTTCGTCACAGAAATTGTCAATCGTAGAATAAAATTATCACTGAGATTCGAGGGTAAACGATTTTCTGGGGACAATGAAGAGGTTCTGTTTCACCTGCGGACGTGTTTCCGGCACCCTCCAGCGCTAGATAAATACTGACACTTTGCGGTATCGGATTTCTTCAATGGAAACGGAATACCTGCGGCGATCTTCGCCGTTGTCGCAAGGATAGTATGATCGATAATCGGCTTCGATCGATTGCGAAAGGATACTATGACGTACGAAATAGGTGCTCAGAAATTGATCGTTTAATCATCCTTAACAGGGTTTCAAACGAGAAGATACCTAAGAGAGAAGGAACTTCAATGTAATTTAATTTAGTGAATTGATATTCGAGTCGAGTATTTTGATTTTAACAGAATAGAATGTGCCTTTCGACGTGAATTGTTGTTGGAACTATTGTTAAAGTGGGTACCCTTAAACTATTATTAAATTACTATTAAACTATTGTTAAAATACTATTAAACTATTATCAAACTGTTATTGAAGTATTATTTTTGAACTATTGCACCAGTGTCAAAAAGTACAATATATCGCATTGTTATGCAAAGGTACACATTTCCGCTGAAAAACTAGAATATTTCGTAAAATTCCTCAGAAATCTAGGAAAATGATTAAACTCTGCTAACATACAAACACCAATTTACTTAGGAAACTCCGACAAGCATTAAAATTACGGTTATATACGTTATGATAATATATTATGAATAAACGCAACGAAATTGAATGTCGCGTCTGCCCCCGAGAACTGCAAAGAGTCAACCATGTTTGAGCCGTTCGCTCGCCAAAACGATTAAAATCAAGGGAACAAACGCTAAGAGGTAATAGACGAAATTGGATTATTAGAACGTCAATTAAATACTATGGCACTAAAGCGTGAAACAATTAAGGAATTCGAGCTAGAATGAAACTCGTATTTCATTGGAAAGGTATCGCTGTCCCAACTGTTAGTATTCAACAAATAATGTCCGCGATAATTATTCATGGATTGTCCGACATTTATGGAAAGCCTTGCCAGCCTTCTTCGCTCGAATATCTCTGCAGGGAAACGAGAAACAGAAAGCGGCGCAGCAGACAAATGGCTCGATTATCCACGGATATAATTCTGCCGCGGACAAAGGCGAAAAGGAGCGTGGTTTCATTGATAATTTTAAAGGAAACAAACGGGTACGTGATCGTCTTAGCCGGCAGCGGGAGATCAGCCCTCTCTCTCATCGGAACGTGGCTCATTTAACTGTCGATGCACGCGAGTATAATGGAACGGCCCATTTGAGTACAAAGTTATACTATGCCTCGATGGAGTCCGCTGGAAGCAACAGTCTGGAATTAATTTCGGCGATAGTGGTGAACTGAGAATGGAGCGAGCCTGAGAAGCGGGGAAACAGACAATGCGATCGAGATTAAAGCAGATCCTCCTCGGACACCGAACGGTTTTCAGGATTTTTA